TTGTTTGTTTGTTTGTTTGTTTGGTGGTTACGAGACTTGATCGTGGTGACAAGTTGGAGCTGGCACTGTGAATAGGTGCATGCAGCACTGATGCTCTCTCTCTCTCTGTGTGTGTGTGTGTGTGTGTGTGTGTGTGTGTGTGTGTGTGTATGTGCTACTGTCTTCACCTGAATACAACGTATGGTCGTTATAGCTGTATTTGGAGCAACTTTGAGTCTACGTACAGCGATAATGACCGTACGTCGTATTCGGGTGAAGACAGTAGGCTGGATCCTAGCCTTTGTATGTTATGGTATGATACGTGCAGCGGGCTGCTCTGAAATTTTGACAATTTGGGCGTCGCTCCACTACTCACTGCATGCGCAAAAGACGAAAAATGTGATGGTGTATCTTTCCATGTTCTAGCGGAATATTCATTCTCATTTTGCACATTTGGTGAGTAGTGGAGCGAAGGCCCTTCGTTGTACCTTTCATGTGTTCTGTGACAATCTGATTGTTTTTATCGGAGTATGCATGCTGTTTTTTTCCAAATACTGAAAAACGTTTGCCAGTTGGTTTCTATATCTGTGTAGAATCTATAGATACATGTGATCTGCTCCTCTTGGTTGTGGTTGTCATTGTTGTTGCCCCTCGTTCTCGTTGTTTTTTGCCCTCCTTGATCGTTGTGCAGTCCGCATTTTTATTTTCCCACACATACTAAAACCAGCTGTTCCCAGTCGCAATACCTGTTAGAGATTGTACTGGAGAGGTCTTCAGAGTTTTCTTTCTCCCACAGAGCTTTGTGCGGACGCATCTGGACGTGTCTGTGGTCAAGATTCGCGAATTTTGTGTCTTTGTTTTCCACAAGTTGCCAGGTTTTCTGCCACTTAGGCATGAAGCTTTTATTGTGTCTATCTTCTAATCTACTAGACTACTAACTACGGTATATCATCAACGTGGCGAGCCTTGCACGTGAGAGGCACAGTGGAGGTGGAGTTCAAAGAAGAATGAGAAATTTAATGGTTTCAATCTGCCCTTGTTTTTTCTTTTTGTTTTTCTTTTTATTTTTATTTTTGCATGTTATCATTGTGCCCGTTTTTAGCTTTTATTCTTTGTTCCGCAAAGTGCGCTCTTTTAGTTTGTAGTGATGTGACAATATATATACATATATAGTTCAAACAGAGCAGCCTGGTAAACCATAGGCAGAGAGGGAGGGGAGGGAGAAGAGGACAAGAAACGAGGGGCTGTGACAAACTCAGTCTGTTTCGTCGGAGTTTCACCGACTCATCAGGAGGCTGATATATATATATATAATGCCAAGTATAGTTGCTATACGAATAATGCTGAAGTGAAAGGTGGCCATATAAGATAGAGTCCGCCGGCCCAGGGAAAATAAGTGCCAAGCGGCACCAGAAGGACCAGATACGTTCTTGCCGCATGCAGTTGGGGGGGGTTGCTGGAGCGTGTGGTGCAAAAAGATGATGTACGCGCGGTAGAGCCCAGGCTTCTTTTTGGCGTTTTCGGGATGCACACAATAAAACGATTGAAGTCTTAGTGTTTCGCTGGCGTGCGCTGCTCACAGATCTTTTCTCTTTTCTCTTTTCTCTCTTTTTCTTAAAGTGCGAGAGCCTGGGTCCTCGGCAGGCCTAAGGGGCCCTGTATGCAGCATTGCCCGCCCTAAGTGAAGGCGGAGGTGCCCGCCGTAAGTGAAGGCGGGCCTAACAAATCACCTGAGGCCCTCGACTGTCAATTTCATATTGTGGGATCCAGGCAGTTGCGACGCGCCAGTTGGTTGAGAGAAATTCAGGCTGTGCTACACAGACATTTCCATGGCCTTCCGGGCCTTTCCAAGGAATGCAGGCCCTGGGCGTGATTCGCAGCCTCATACAGAGACAGTTGGGCGCCCAACTGAACGAGGCCCAGCAGCCCAGTAGCTGCTGCATCCAGGCAGCCTCCTGGGGCCTTCCGGAGGCTTCTGGGCCCAGGCCAGTCCAGCCAGGCTGCGCGAGCAGGCCGGCTCTTTCCGTAAAGGAAAGAGCTCTCCCCCTGGCAGCCTCATTCGGTCACTTGCTGGCTGGCGGCAGCGCTGCTGGAGTGATTGCTCGCGGGCTGGCTGCCGGCATAGGCTGCGCGCGTGCGGTCGTGTGTGGGAGCAGGGCGCTGCTGAGGGCAGCGCCATAGCCAGCCTCCATAGCGGGCTCGGCTTGGATACACAGTGAGGCGCAGGCGGGTGCAAGAGAGGACAGGTGTGGGTGTTAAGTCAGGGAAGGGCGAAGGATGATGATGATGATGATGTGAGGGCACTTACCTTGTATTGGGGATGGTCAGCATATGGGCGACATCTTCAAGTACTTCGGGTTGCCGCTGATGTCAACAGTTGCATTGTCTATTATTAGGCTGATCGTAGCTGTGTAGAAGTAGGCTGGGCGCTGAGCGCCAAGCAGGAGTGTGAAGGGACTGGACTCTTGTGTTGCTGAAGGAGAGAGAAAGCTCTCCATGACATTGGTTTTCAGTACTACGAACCTCCATTGGTGTATTATTGGTGCAATGCTGCTCTCTGGACACAGTGTGACTATCTGGCTTTTTATGTGATGGTGTAATCTGGATTTGTCATCTCGCTGTTGCTTATTTTCCTTGCAAGTTGGTATCAGAGCTGGTTCATATTGTGCTTCATTGGTTCTTCGCAATAGCTATTGGTGCTTTGCATGAGGTGTGGGGCAGTGACAAGGCATTGGGGTTGAACATAAGGCGGCCCAGGGTAGAGTGGGTGCGCCAGGGAGCTATGTGGTGACATACGGGGTGTATGCTGGATGATGAGAGCTTGCTGATGTGACATATTAAGCCGAGGTGGAACTGCATTCTGCTGTTGGTTGTGCCGAGGCAAAGGCCGATCATCATAAGTGCACATCAGGTTGCCGGTGAGAAATCTGTGGTTGGGGGCAGCATTTATGAGGTACGTTGCTCTCTTCCTTATCTACCCTCTTCGTTACTTCTTACCGTGAGGAAGTGAGTTTTGTCTTGAGAGTCCTCTCGATGTGAGGTGTCGCGAGCGCTCAACCTTGAGAGTCAACATTCTTCCTGGGCAGCAAGCTGGTGGGAGACGGGCGAAGCCCCTGAAGGGCCCTCGACGAAGCACTCGGGTCACGGTCACCATGCCAACCCGCGGGGACTAGTACACGCATGCTTTGCCGCAAGTCCTTGGTTCTGCTGCTTGCGCAATAGAGGTCATGCAGGGCATGCCAGCCCTTTGAGAAACGCTTTCCAGACCGTCTTTAAACATTTCTGGCTGGGGACTCGGAATTGAATCTGGTTGTAATCGTCGTCCTGTCTGCGACGTTAAATAATTCCTGAGGAGATGGGGGCTCTCCTTAAATCCCTCCTGATCAGCCAGATCAACCGGGTGTAAGGCTCGTTGCATGCGAGGRTAAATAA